TTTGATACATATATCGAGTACTAGCATGGATGTTATATGGTATGGAAAACAACAATGTGGTGGTAAGCAAATTAGAATTGGTAATCCTGTGCTTCACCACTCATAAAGCAAAGGTCGATTTTACTAATATTTTGGTAGACCATTTCCTAAAGATCAAGAAATCGACTAATGGTGGAATCGTTATAAGTGGGTTTGTCACCCACATTCGTTGAGAAAGGGAAGATGTTCAACGAGAACACAACCACCTTAACACTAGTAAAAGGGTTGGAGCGATTGACCATTAAAAAATTGATAAAAATCTAGTTGCTTGGAAAAAAAGAAAAGGTACTTCATCCACCCCACCAAAAGACAAAGACGAGAAGTAGAAGGTGACAATGATGGTGAAGGTAATGATGAGGCATAACTTGCTGCTGAAAAGGTTCCACAAGTGGGTGCCTCAAGTGGATATGTGGAAAGGTGGAGCAACCGGCATCACAGTTGGATGATTTCCAAATCAATGTCAATAGCCATTTCAATATGTTGAACGAATAAGTGCGGACCATAAACAATAATGCCAACAATCAATTTGATTAATTAAGTGAGCAAATTTAAGCTACAAAAAATAATGTTATAGTTGGATTTCAAATGGTGAATGCCTATATTGGCCACCTCTACAATGCCTTTATGACATATTTTCCACCACCGCCACCACCTCCATTCCGAAAAGGCCATATAGATATGCTTTCTTATCCTTTTATCTTTTGATGCTATTTTAATTTGATGATCTATGCGCATATTGAGGATAATTTTCAATTCAAGTATAAGGATACGTTTAACATTTAGGTTTTTAATGTTCTTTTGTTATTTTATGTAATTTTTTTTAATTTTATACCTTTATAAAAAAAATAAAACAAATGCCATGTTTAATATGATGTTCTTCCTAATTGATATACAATGTTGAATTCGATGAAATTTGATGAGATGAATAAAAATATTTGGGATATTATTATTATAGAAGTGCATGTATGGTAGAAAGCTTTATGCGACATTATGATTAAATATAATTTAGGTAGTGATACCGACTTTTTTAAAAAGCAAACCCTTTGGAAATTAGACCTAAGTATGATTTAAATAATCGATATTTTTTAATTTTTATTTAATAAAGAAATATGGAAAACATTACCTTAGGAATTTGGCCTAAGTAATTAAAAATTATACTCCAATCATTTGAGTTGCTTAGTAACTAGGAGTATTCATCACAAATATGTACTTTTACATCAAACGACAATTCAAATTATGAGTATGCAAAGCACTCTAGGTTAATGACATGCTAAGTAACCAATTGCCTTATCACAAATGTCGATAGTCATATAAAAAGGTAAGAGATCACTTAAGAAAAAGTTATTAAGGCCTTGAAACAAAAATTTAGGATGCTTAAAATGAAAAAAGCTGATTAAACTAAATCTCTCGTTTATTACCTTGCTTATAGTGGTGGAAAAGGGGTAAAAGTAAAGTTGGTCTTACATTGCCTAAATTACGTTTGGTTATAAAGATGCATAAATTAATTTAGAGACAAGCATTGATATGATAATAATATCATATACATAATTGAATTAACTCGTTGAATTTTTTAAAATTTTGAATTGAGCATCAATGTGGAAGAACAATCATACTTGCATGATTTTTATTTAAATGATTTTGTAGGTTTATAATCTAAAAAACCCTCATGAGACACAACTCATCCACTTGGGGTAACCTAGGGGTTTAAAGGCTTGTAACATGTACTAAATACAACCGTGATTCCTATGAAAGTGAGTTAGGTTTTAATTTGTTTGTTTTGCTCGAGGACTAACAAAGTTTAAGTGTGGGGATATTTGATGAGTGCATAATTATCATAATTTTTATGCTTTATTACATTAAAATTTCTAGTATTTATTATATTATATTATGTTATTTAAGAATAAGATGATAATTTTGGATTTTGTAAGAAAAACGACAAATTAGAACAATAAAACCCAAAAAAGGAAGAGACGAAACTTCAAAGATGCTTAAAAGAGTCACGTAACGATCATGTAAAATAATGAAGGAAGAAGCTACTAGTCGTGTGACTTAAAGGGAGAAACCATGTGGATTGCTCAAGCAATACAAACCACACGGGTAGTAGTATTTTACACTGCTAGAGGAAGAATTTCCATATGGTCATGTGGGTGTCTCAGCTTAGCAAAGTCCAAGGAAAGGAGGAGAACACATGGGCGGAAGGTATTGCACACGGTTTGGAGTACAAAGTCACATACCCATATCTCACAAGTAAAACAAGTTTGCACAAGTAAAAGAGATTCAACATGGCTTGAAGGAAAAAGTCTACATTGGCAAAAGCTTGCCAACATGAAATAAAGAATAAAGGCGCATAGCCATATGCCCTAGTTAGCAAACCATGCAACACTTATTCTCCAAGGCTCCAAATCGTGTAATATTAAGTAACAAATAGTTTAACTTTATGCATTAAATCATGTGGCCATATGGGGGTGATACCTATATGATGTAGCCCTAGTTTTATGTATAAATAATAAAGCTAGGGTATTATTTTGAAATTCTACCTTTGAGCGACCACCATTCATAAAAAAAACTCTCTCTTTGTAATTTATTATAAGCAACCAAACTTTATTCTTGGTTGAATTAAGTTGAAGTTTTTGATAAATTGTTGTGAGATTACGGATTTTTTTCTAAATTTATCTTATTTGAGTATTTTATGTTTTTCTTCATGATTGATTTATATTTGTATGATTAAATTCATTAGAGTGCACGCTATTTGTTTAATCATGTTAACTTATTGCTAGCTAAGTATTCAAGTCCTTGTAATTGTTTGTCTAAATTTGCTTGTGGTAGTAACCAAGAGTTGATGATTATTTTTCATGTTTTTGTTTAATTTTTTAAAAAATATAGAACTACGTTACATCTTCTCTAGCTCTTAAGAATGTGGCTTAGCTTCACTTGTCTTTTTACGTTTAATGCTTGTTATTAGATTAAATCTATCTAGCGCTTAATAGGTTGTTCAATAGATAAGAAATTAATTAAGTATCATATATTCGATTAACGATTAAGAAAGAAAAGACTAATGTCAATATATATGTTGTTATCATACGATGAATATTTATGTTTTGAATAAGTTAATTATTTAATTGATGATCATCGATCAAACTAAAAGTAGATAATAAAGTTCAATCAAGGTTTCATTTATATTGTTATCTCAATTTATTTTATTTGATTTTAAGCACTTTACACACAAAAACCTCCCTTTACACTATAATAGCACTCAAACAAGCAAAACAATCAATTGATCCTTTTTTCCCGTGTATTCAACCTTTGCTTGCCCCGATTATATAAAATTTATTGAAAGCTCTATAAAAAAAATAGAAATCATTTAATTTTTTGACGATACGACACACTATTAGCGATACGGCTCATGAGAGAGAAGGAAAAAAAAAAATTTCTCTTTTTTAACTTGAAAAATACTCTTTCAAAAATATTTTATCATTTTTCGTTATTTTTTTAATAAACGGGGAACAAATATTGGGAAAAAAAAAAACAAGTTTTGAAACTTATTTTTTCGAAGAAAAAAAAAAACACAGCTTCACAATTCTGCCTTTTTAGCACAGACATTGATGTGACGAAAGCAGAGAAAGATACAATTTTAATTTTAATTTTTTATACATATCGTTAGCAAAAGGTCAATACAGTCTTTTCAATTGATCAAAGCAGATGGAGGCGAGCCCATAATTTATAGTCTGGAGCGCAAGAAATGGTTGGCGAAAAGGGCTTGAAAAACTTTCTGTAGTTTATGTATATGATGATGAGTATTAGACTAAAAGGCAGCAATTAGACCTGATATGACCTAAATTTCTTAAAGCAAGTTGCAAAATCAGATGGGTTTGAGTTGGGTCACACGTGCATGGTGAGAATTTGAGTGTAAGACATACTCAGCGAAAAGCAGCATGGAATTGTCGTCCAATATTGAGAACAGCTAAGAGGCAATTTAGTTTATTCATCAAATTCAATAAAACATATTTTCTTTGTCAAAATATATATATATATATATATAATTCCCATTATCAATCCCAGCAGTAGACAAATCATAATGGGATCGATAAATACATCCTTTGCGAACCAATCAATGCATCCTTTCTTCGTTTCAAACATTTGAGGCTGAGGGGCTGTCCTTTTATGGTACATATCTCTGGGACGTAAAGCAAATCAGTCTCTATCAAATTATCATTGATACAGACCTCAATTTTATTTATTTATTATTTTTTAACTCAATATGCATGCATATGGTGGGGTGGAGGGATGCACAGCTTGATAGCTTTGCCTTGGAAAATTATTGATGATCACACATACAATTTGTAAAGAAAGTAAAGTTCAAGATAATGGATGTCAAGGTATTTCAGTTTCCCTTCTCAAACGTAAATAAATTAAGTTTCCTATATATATATATATATATGGAAGGTGATTGATAAGATAAATTTGGAGTTACATTGTTTCTCCAGGCAAAAGATACGATGTAAAATGCTGGCTTAAACCATGGTTATAAACGAGATTAATGGATGCCAAGATATTTCAACTTGCTTAGCAAGGTTAATGAAGATAAAACTTAGCTCGCTATTCTTTCTTTTTCTTATTGTTTTTATGGATAGATGAATCACTTCCCAAATTACTTTTATGTACCTTCCAATGGAAACATCAGGTATTTTCTCCGATGTCAGAGAAGAGAGAGCAAAAGTGAAATATTAAATGCATGACTTCTGGCAGTTTCAAGACCAATTCCTGCACTCCACCTGGCTGTTAGAATAGTCTAGCTGGGCCACTCTTGCTTCACTTTTTGCCCAACGTACATTTTCTCTTAATTTAATTGTCTGGTCTCTCTAATCACACTTAATAACTCTGATTAAAAAGATTGTTTTCCTCCATATATTTAACTCACTCTACTTTCTTCCTCCCAGTGCTTCTTCTCCGCTCTCTCAAACATGGGATTCATGTCATGCCACCAGACTGGTTGCTCAGATTATGATTCTCATTCTCACTCTCACCACCTTCAAACAAACCTGCCAACACTATATTCACAGCCAAGCCTCCCATCAGTACCTTCCCTCACCTCAAAACCCCGTCATCACTACCAAGAAATCATATCCACCATCCACCATCACTGCCTCACCACTTTTAAAGGACATACCTCTTATATATCCTCACTAACCCTTGCAGGAAAGTTCCTTTACAGTGGCTCTGACAAAGAAATCAGACTGTGGAAGCGAAACTCTTTCGACTCTGAAGTAGATCATGAAAACCTAAGCAGCAACGTAGTGGCTTTGGGAAAAGGTGCAGTGAAGTCCCTGGTAGTTTTGGCAGATAAACTCTTTAGTGCTCATCAAGATCACAAAATCCGAGTATGGAAAATCAATAACCAGGAATCTGGGCACCAGAAGTACACACGTTTGGCCACTTTACCAACACTTGGTGACCGTGCCTTTAAAAGTCTGTTGCCAAAGAATCAAGTTCAGATTCGAAGGCACAAAACATGCACATGGGTTCATCATGTTGACACAGTATCTGCACTTGCCTTGTCGAGTGATGAGTCCCTTCTGTACTCCGTTTCATGGGATCGGACACTTAAAATATGGAGAACGAATGACTTCAAGTGTTTGGAATCGGTAGCCAATGCACATGATGATGCTATAAACGCGATGGCATTGTCGAATGACGGGAATGTTTATACCGGATCAGCCGACAAGAAAATCAAGGTGTGGAGGAAAAGTTCAGAAGAGAACAAACATTCCCTGGTTGCTACACTAGAAAAACACAACTCTGGGGTTAATGCCTTGGCACTAAGCACTGATGGGTCTGTTTTATACTCCGGTGCATGTGACCGGTCAATCGTAGTATGGGAGAAGGATGATGGTGGCGATATGGTGGTTGTGGGAGCCCTTAGGGGCCATACACAGTCCATATTGTGCTTACATGTTGTGTCTGATTTGGTGTTTAGTGGTTCTGCAGATAAAACTGTTAGAATTTGGAGAGGTGTTGACGGAAATTACTCTTGCTTGGCAGTTCTGGAAGGGCACAGAGGCCCTGTCAAGTGCTTGACAGCATCGATGGACCGTTACAACACATCTGATGCATCGTATGTTCTTTGCACTGGGAGTTTAGACTGTGATATCAAAGTGTGGCAAATCGATGTCCCTATTCTATAGCCGATTTCTTTTAATTTGGAGTCTTGACCCTACGTTTTGTACGTATAATACGAGGAGAGTGGTATAGTTCCTCTTACTTTCATCTTTTTTATGTTTTCATTTTTCCCCTATCCTGGGCCATTTCTTGAGTTCAACTATTACTGTATGGGTAGGATTTGAAACTAATGATGCTTAGAGTGGTTTGCTTGTATGTTGATAGTAAGTTTTGGCATTTAAGGTTGTAACTAGACCCGTTTTACCCTACTACTAATGACATCCAAGATTTTGCTCTTCCCATGTTAGTAGCTTCTATAACAGTGCATATAAGATAACTCCTAGTGTTATAATATTGTCCATAAAAAAATATTGGATTGCTGTCCTATCGATGGTTACAAGTCCCAATTCGTTCCTTGAAATTTTTAATAACTTGCTAGTAGTTTGTGCTACAAGATAATGCTAATGGAGGCTTACCTACATGAGAAAGGAGACAGGGTATACCCCTCCCTTGCCTACTACTTATTTTAGCGTAAAGCCTCCATCACTAACTCTTGGAATAGTGTGTTCTATAATTTATGCAAAGAATGATAATTGGCTTGTGGGACTCAACGAGACAGAGGACAGTAAGGTCACTGATTAATACTTTAAATTATGGACTTCAGACATTTACACTAGTTTTTATATTCATTTCCTAAAACTGCCAACGCATTCAACATTTAGCTTAAGTTGGAATCAAGATCCTACCTATAAAATGAATCCAACTTCTAATTTTAAAATATGAAGTAAAAATATAAACATTGAGCTACTTTATCCCATTCAATAAAAAGGTTTCCCCGTAAGTGGAGAGGGAAAAGTTGAATTTTCTTTTTTTTTTAAAAAAAAAAGGAGAAAAAGTTCATATTCTAAACAACCAGAAAGCAGAAGTGAAAAGATTATTATTATTATTATTATTATTATTATTTTGTTGTTGGATAAGGTCGACGCAGCTGCCTTGGCAAGAGTTCTGCAACACTAGAGACCGAAATTTCCTTGAACCATAACCCCAATATCAAAAATATCTATATTCTTCCCATTAACCTCAAAATGGAAATCCTCTCTTTTTCTGCTCAAATTAAAAAATAAAGGACAAGGAAGAAGATATTTTGTCCTAGGCCGTTGCATGCGATAGAAGAAAGAACCAATAGCAGAAAAATTAAGCAAAGCAGATGAATACAGAAAAGTTCCATTACTTTTTTTAAAAAAAAATCATAAGAAGTAACTTCCCTTCTAATGAGGTAACCAAAAAGAAAATAGTAGAACTTGAAAGATTAGAAAAATGGCAGACAGATTAGAAAAATGACAGACAAACAAACATTTTGAAGATTGCATTAATATTGTAGATGACGAAACCAATAGAACACCCAAATAGAATAAAAAATGGCAAAATGATTAAATTATTAGATGATCAAGTTGCTTTCCTTACATGTAATTAACCTACTAATGAATTACATAAGGCATATACCCGTACGATGATTAAGGTTAATCTATCTTAGATATCTTGAGATTAATTAATTATCCTTTACAAGAATAATCAGTGGTTTGACCTACTCAAAAAGTTACAAGTGGAAGACACGTCAGGTAAAAGTCGTTTTTCCTAGACGGCCATTATTCTAACCTACTCTTCCCGCTGGTCGCCTAGCCTGGTTGCAAAAGCCACACCTTTATTTTAGACAGAGGATATTAGAGGGATCTGAAAATATAAGATTCATCTAATAAATTCCTTAAAGATAATAAAAAATATAGCACTATCTTTCTATTTAATCTTCTATAAATTCTACCTCCTTAAACTTAGGTATCGTGTGTGCATATGCCATCACCACGTGGAAGAGCAAGATTATCGAACAAAATGAGAAAATACTTTTAACCTAACTCTGAAATAAACACAAGCAAGCAGTCAACTGATGCCCACAAATGATGACATTTTACCTGAGTATATAAGCATACAAAACTCTTAAACAGTTGAATGCTTGAATCAATGGCTGTAATTAAGATGTAATGCCCTGACAGCTGGTATGAAAGATGTCATAGTGAAACATGAAGGTCTCCCTACCATTATGGAAATGAGAGAGAAACTACCATAATTGAACCACTATTGAGGATTATCCTCGTAGCTACCCTATGTGAATTATTTCATTTGATCTGATGATTACTTTTTCTTGCCTCTCATGTTCAAATAAAAACTTGCTTCTTACTTATTACTTGTTCCTTTTAATTTATTAGTTATAGTTAAAAAGTGTAACAAATACTGACAATTTGTAAAGTCATTTCACAATAGTAAGATTTATTGATGCATATGGATATGCACATTTGTACATGCACACAAATTTCCCTCGATTACTCCATGAGCGATGATTTTATAACGAAGGAATAGCAAGAAAAAGTTCATTAATATGCAAGCAGGAAGTATCTATTTGTAAATGTCTTGCCTAATGGGAAAAGTTGATTCTAAAATGTTGCAAGATACCTAAGAGTTTTACGCTCCCATAGAGATCCTCCTTTCTTCCTTGCTGTGCAGTTCTTTTCACCTGCTTGAACTTACACTGAATATGTTTAGCTTATGAATCAGGATTGTTTCTACTGGGAAACAGCTCTCAAAGTATCCCCTGAAAGGGAGGCATCGCTTTTGTCTTAATTTTCAGTTTTTAGACGAAATAATTCAGACATATAGTGCCTCAACTTTGGATATGTTATTTCTCGCTCGAATCTATAAAAACAGCATGTTCTACAAACTCAAAAATGAAAGCCCAGTTACTATGGCTCATATGAGCAAATATTACAAGTTTTAGTTGATGCCTTGAATAAGCTTTGTCTAATACCAAACAGAAGTTCAGATTGTCACATATACATATCAAAAGATTAATTAAATCATTTAATGAACATTGTGTAATAAGCACAAGTTACTTCACTTATCAAATATCGAGCTACTACAACACTGCTGTCTACTTTGTTAATTGCAGAAGAGGTCATCTGAAAGTACAGTTCACCACATATAGTGTGTGGAATGCACGAAGCAAAACAGAATGGGCATCACAGTGGTAATTTTGCTGGGGTACCTGGATCACGGGGGTATTTCCTCGGTGTGGGACGATCTTTTGAACAAATGATGGCAGTTCGCTGTCCATATGGGCTGTGTGATTCCACTGGATACAGCAGCAAAGGTGGGTGAATATCAGCTTAGTGAGGAAGTATACATTGACAACAAAAGGCAAGTAATCGAAATTGAAATTTTATAAAAAAGAGAACTTGGCCTTAAATTCTAACAAAATCTTTGACAATCCTTTGGACAGCATGTTGGATCAACAAACTTGATGAAAAATTATGTGTTCTCTCTCTCTCCCTCTCCCTCTCAAGTAAGAGGCACAAATTGTGACCAACACAAAAACTGATGACCTTTACCGAGTGGTAGAGTCATTGATTTTTCATTACACGCGGTTAAAATACAACTATCTTACTAAGCTTGTAGTCATTATAATCTGATCAACTGTGTAGTGCAGCTTCTTGCACGTCTTACTTGACCAAAAAGATAATAAAGACAACTTGTCAGACTCGTTGCCTGAAACAAAGTTAAACTTCTATTTAACAGAATGAAATAGAACAAAAAGTACATTATTACAAAGTGCATTCATATGAATATACGAGAGTTGATAATACAGCAATAGTACCTGAGCGTAGTTGCAATACGGATGCTCCCATCAATTGGAGTGACCTCTCTGCATTTCTTACTTCCTCCTGCCCCACAAGGTACAAATAGAAAGATTATTGATAGCTCATGTTTATGAGATTAAGAAAGCAGTGTACGGCAGGCTATTCTTACTGAGATTAGAACCATTAAAAAGCACAAAAGTACTTGAAGTTGTTGGACATCAAATTATTGTATAACCACTACACGGTATAATATTAAAGTTTTGAACTCAACCAACTTTTTTGTCGGTCTATAAACAAGGCTTTTATTATAGAAGTAGCGTATCGCTAATAAAAGTCCTTCAAGAATTTATAAATTCAAACTTTGGCTTCTATGAGTGGTGAGTGAGATATTAAAACACAGATTCCAAGATACCCACTAACAAGCAGAGAGACAATCCATGAACTAAAAATAGCATGCTGAAGAAACTTTGGCTGCTCAGAACTTCAGATTCTAGAAAACAACTAATTAGAGTATACATGGCCTTCCTCATAAGTAAATCATTAAGTATTGTTTTTCTCCATGTCAATACAATTTATGATATCAATTTGTCAACATACTGTAGAGGATAAATTAGTGTAAGATGAAATATAACAGTGGGGTTAAAGTTTGAAATATGAAAACGATACACACTTGAGGATCATGGCCTTTTGCAGCTATGAATAATCCACCAACGCGAACCAAAGGAAGACAATACTCAGCTGAAAAACAAACGAAACGAGTACCCCCAGCTTTAACAATAAGCTTCCTTATAAGAGTTAAAAAACACATAAGATATTGAAGTAGAAAGTAATTATAATTACCTAAAATTCTCATCTCTGCCACTGCTCTGGCTACTGCTACATCAAATTTCTCTCTAAAAGAAACATTCTGCCCTAAATTCTGTCCTATAACAAGAATTAAAGAATGAGCAAATACCCAAGAACATAAAATCAATTACATATCTGGGCAGCTATAATCTGTGTAAACTTACACTAAAAATGTAATTATTCAGACAAGAAAGCGTATCAAAATTCAAAAGCAGAACACAACAAGCAATACCTCTGCTCTTCCCCTCACAACTTCAACATTTGACAAACCAGTAACACTAACTGCATGTTCCAAGAAAACACATCGCTTGTTCATCGACTCCAAAAGCGTTACTTTCCATGCTACAGATAAAATACAATACCAATGGAATCACAAAAAACAAGCCAACTAGAAGCAACTTAAACAGAAAAGAAAAAACGAAACAGAAGGAAAAAGAAAAGGACTCACCAGGACAAGCAATAGCCAAAACCAATCCAGGAAGCCCGGCACCGGTCCCAACATCAACAAGTTTGATACCGTCAATGGAAGCATTACAGTGTGAAATATAAGAGTCGTTTATAGGAGGTATTATTGCAAGTGAGTCCTCAATATGCCTCACCATTACTTCATTTACATCAGTAATTGCAGTCAGGTTCATTTTCTGCAACATTATCAGAATTCAAAACTTCAAGGAAAAAAAAACCTCTAAATTCTTATTGGAGCTAACTTTATGTTCTCGTGTGTATGACCTCACCTGGTTCCACTGAAGAAGGGTATCAACATAGAGGCCGATTTGGTCTTTCTGGTGGGAACTGAATGTACCGAAACAAGACGAATTATGGGTTCTGGTGCAGGCTGTGGTAATTAGCGATTCTGCTGTGATTCTGTGAAGAGGAAATGCTTTTATTTTTATGATCGGAAGTTGTTTGATAGAAGTCCCGAGAGAGAAGGAAAATGGGACGCTAGGAGCTTTCCAACGCCTAACGAACATTTCTCTCTCTCGCGTGCTTTACCGACGCCAGGAGTTAGTTGCAAGCTCACTATACGAAGCAAAATATATGTGGGCTCCATGATCAATGCCACGTCCTCGTGGGCTCGGCTTAATATAGTACTCTTTTTTTTTTTGTTTTTTTTTGTTTTTTTTCCATATCAAGAAGCTGTAATGTACCATCAATGGTTAGCCAGTTAAAAGTGAAAAACTACTCTAAACCAATCTCTTATTGTCTTGAGACATTTTTTGCAAAAGACTTACCACCACTAGTCCTATGGTCTATTCATAAATATACTATCTAGTTACAGACCACAATCTTGTCATTTTGTCGAAAGTTGCAAGCAGAACTGTACTTATCTTATAAAAAAAAAAACTAAGCTCGGCCCATTTAGCACCTCAATTAGCTGGGCTGTTCTCTTTCGGTGTCTCCGATTGGAGATCTAGAGTGGGTCCTGCCTGCCCAGCCCATATTCGTGGTCTTATTAATGGCACGTTATTCTATTTTAAGAATTTTTATTTTTTAAATCTTATTTCTTATAATAAGGTTAGTTTTAAATTTATTTCCTATAATAAGTTTCTCTTTGCTAGATAGGAGAGTTTTTTCCCTGATAAATAAGATACTTTTTAATCTATTTTTCAAAATAAGATATTTTAAATCTTATTTATATATATAAAAAAGATAGTTTTGCTATATAGGCATACATGTCTTTTTTTTAATTAAATTTTATAATATATATTTAATATAATAATTTAAAAAATTAAAAACATAAAAGAAAAAATTAACTTATGCTCTATTTGTCTTTCTTACGTTATCTTTCTTTGCTCTCACAATTTAAAATTACAATTACTAGAAAAGTTCTTTGGCATATGAATATCGTCAATTAAGGTATTTTTCTAAATTCTTTTGTTTTTATTTATTTAATTTTGATAAAATTTTCTTTTAATTTGTATATTGTACATTCTTAATTTTGAGAGTTTATACTTTAAGAAGACTATTATAACTTGTGCCAATAAATTTACCATCAAAATTATTAATCTCACTACTTATTTTCTTAGAATTATCAATACATTCTCTTCATCAATATTTGTTGTGTTATATGGAGAGGGAGATGATAGAGAATATTACGTTAGCGAGTTCATCTATTATCTTTTCCAAAACAAAAACCAAAAAAATAGGCTATCTATGTTTTTATTTTATTTGGATGGGTTTAGAAGTTATTGGTATTATAGAAAAATAGATTAGGTGATTGCTTGATGAGTGTATAATTAACATGATTTTGTGCTTCATTATATTAAACTTTCTAGTGTCTATTGTATTATATTAGGTTAATTGATGCAAGAAAGCTCAAGTTCAAACTTGAAGATGAAAGACCTCCCTTGATGAGAAAGGTAATATTGAGCCAATGACGTTAAATGAAAGCGTTTATTGGAAGGCAACCCAATAAATTCTAGTAAATTTTGTGTTTTAATTTAATGTTCAATTTAATCATATAATTTTTTTAAAAAAATTTCACCCATCCTGGACATGATCGAAGGGATATTGTACCATAGGTATCTTGGTATGTTAAATGAAGAAAAGAGATACACTCCACATGTAATGGAGTTTTACCCAGCTTGTGCGGTTAAATGGGATGCCCATGTGTGTGTATTTATCTAGAATTTCAAAAAGGAAAGAGAGGCAACATAGATAGTAGCTAAACGATATGATTTATAGAAGAAAATGAAACACTCATATGTCCGAAAGAGGATTGTAATGAAGCAAATGAGAGAGGCAACATGAGCGAGAAAGTTTCCACATAGTTTGTGTAGAAATTTAGCACGGGCATATGACTAAGAAAGTGTTGTCGAGTTTTTGAAAATGAAAATACAACACTAGTAGTATAGAATCATATTGTTTGTACAATAATTTGGCATGACTACGTGACTCAATTAGGGCAATTCAAATTCCAAAGGAAAAAAAGAGACACAAGCATATTAGTTTTCATAAGATTTGTGTAGAAATTTGACATGACCATGTGGGTTGAATGGAGGTTTTCAAATTTCCAAAAGAAAAAGGGACACGGTTAGAATATTTTCACATGGTTTGAAAAGGAATTCCACATGGCCATGTGAAATATAAAAGGTTGCACTTGGTTGGGAAGAAGTAATGGCACATAAGTAGAAAGAAAAGGACACGACTTGCACATGAAATCCACACGAGTGTGTGTCTCTCTAACCTAAATGTCATACGAGTTTTCCTTTCCAAAACTTACTCCTATATAAAACCAAACCATAGTCGTGTCACTTCATCTTCTCCAATTTCCCAATTGCTACTACCAATCATCTTTTCCATCTCTTTATCTCCTTCAAATATCCATCTTTCTCACACATATAACCAGCCATCACATCATCCCACCTCCACAAATCAACACTACCCTTCCATTACCAACCTCCAAAGAACCCTACCTTCATCGCCCATTTCCAATTAAAGAACCCTCATCTTTCTCCACTCAAGCTCACTAAGGATAACAATGTCCTTTTCAAGAGACAAAGGAAAGTAAGTGGCACAACTAAAAAGGGAAGCCACTAAAAGATGATAGCTTAATAAGAAGGCTACCGACTTCGATCTTATCCTAGAGTTACATTTGTCGATGTTGCACAAAAATTGCATTATAATGTCTTGAGAAATAGGAGAATCATGTCAAATAGATGTTGATCTTCAAGTACTAGAAATAATAGGATTTTTGGGTTAAGTGAGAGAAATTACTAGATAGTATAGGGTGGGTAAACTTGTTGAAAATGGATGCACCTTCTCCTAAAGAATTAACCATAGAGTTTTTAATTTCATTTCAACTAGAAACGTTATTAAATCGTCGATCATATCTTGTGATTTTTTCACATTTAGGATAACCAATGAGAAGTGTATCATGGACATTGAGGTAATAATAGACATATTTAGTTAGCCACATAAAGGTGCAAAACAACCACTTATTGGGTTTAAGAAACCCTTTTGGAAGGAAATCATGAGTTCACAAACGAGAGGTGTACAATCCCTCATGATTGAAAGCCTCAACCATTGTAAGCTTCGCATTTCGATACATACACCGTATCTTAGCATGGATATTATGTAGAAGGGGAAATAGTAATGGGATAGTGAGTAAGCTATAGTTGGCGATCTTGTTCTTCATCACCAATAAGGCTAAAGTGGATTTTACCTCTTTTCTAGTTGAATGCTTTTTGACGATCAAGAAGTTGACTAAAGATGACATTATTATGAGTGGGTTCCTTACCCACATTATCATGAAGTTGAAGATATTCAACCGACGCACCACAATGTTAGCACCAATAAAAAGGCTTAAATGCATGACTCTCGAGAAATTGATCAATATCGAGTTACTAGAAAAGAAAGGAAAAAGATACCTCATTCTATCAACCAAGAGACAAAAACAAGAGAAGGAAAATGATTCAAGTGATAGTGATGGCAAAGGAGGTGATGAGGCTCTACTCACATTTAAATAGGTTCTATAAGAGGATGCCTCAATGCTCAATTGGCAATGGTAGAGCAACTTGCATCATGGTTGAATGACTTACAACTTAATGTTAATAGCTAGTTTGACCTTCTAAATAAGCAAGTTTAGAACATGAGCAACAATGTCAACAACTGATTTGAAATGTTGAATAAGTAAATTCCGGTCACGAACAACAATATCATAGTTAAATTTTGAATGATCAACAGTTAGATTGACCACCTCTACACCGTCTTTACAACATACTTTCCACCACCTCTGCTTCTAAGGGCCGCTATCTAGATTTTCTTTCATATCCCTTAATCTTTTCATGCTATTTTAATTTAATCATCTATGTTGAACATTGAAGACAATGTTAAATTTAAGTGTGGAGCGAGTGTTTAGCATTTAGGTTTCTTTTTATTATTTTGGTGTTATTTCATGTAATTTATATATTTGTTTTATCCCTTTATAAAAAAAATAAAACAAATGCTATGATTTAATATGTTGTTCTTCTTGGTTGATGTTTATATTGAATTTGATGAAATTTGATAAGATGAAGAAAAATATTTAGGATATTATTATTGTAGATATACATGCATGCTAGAAAGCTTTATATGTCTCTATGATTGAACATAATTTAGGTAGTAACAATAACTTTGAAAGCAAAGAAAACCCTTTGGAAACTAGACCTAAGCACAATTTACATAAATGAGATTTTTTATTAATTATGGAATTTAACAAAGAAATTTGAAAAGCATTCCGTTAAAAAATTTGGCCTAATTAAAAATTCTACTTCAATGATTTAAGTTGCCTAGTAACTAAAAGTATTCATCATAAATGTTTACTTTTACATCAAATGGCAGTTTGAATTATGAGTATGTGAAGTATTCTAGGTAAATGACTTGCTCAAGCAACCAGGTTACCTTCATCATAAATATTAGTAGTCGTGTAAAAAGGCAAGTGAACACTTAGGAAAAAGTTATTAAGGCTTTAAAACAAAAAAAAAAATTTGATTTAAGAAAATCTCGATTTATTGCCTTGCTTGTAATGGTGAAAAAGGGGTAAAAGGTAGAGTTGGTGTTGCATGCCTAAATTATGTTTGGTTATGAAGTCGTATAAATTAATTTAGAGACACATATTGATACGATAATAATATTTAGAACATGTTCGAGTTAACTATTGAATTCTATTGAATTTTGAATTGAGCATCATTGTTTGAAGAATAATCATATTGGCATGACATTTGTTTGAATAATTTTATGGGTTTATGATTTGAAAACCCTTATGAGACACAACTCATCCACTAAAGGTAACTTAAGGGTTTAAAGGCTTGTTGCATAAAATCTCAATTTATTGCCTTGCTTGTAGCGATAGAAAAGGGATAAAAGGTAGAGTTGGTTTTGCATGCCCAAATTATGTTTGGTTGCAAAGATGTATAAATCAATTTAGAGACACATATTGATACGATAATCATATTTAGAACATGATCGAGTTGATTGTTGAATTCCGTTA